GTGTGTGTGTGTGTGTGTGTGTGTGTGTGTGTGTGTGTGTGTGTGTGTTTGGGGTCACGTGCTGACCTCATTGTCTGCACGAGTACGTGCATCTGCAGCATCAGCGTAAGGAGACGGAGACTTATCAAATACAAATACCTCAGTGGTAACTTTGTTTGTTTGTTTTATTATTTTTTATCTACTCGAGTCTCTTCGGAAAACCAAAAGATGCTGAGGAGTGAAAATGGACTCCTCTGAAAACAGAGTGAGGGTTGATAGTTTTATCCAGAGACAGGAACCGACACGCTTTATTCCGTGTTTAAATAGTCCTCGTTTCCCATGTCCTGTGCCAGTGTATTTGTGAGTTTTTCGTAACCCTTCGCCTCGTCAGGTTTGATTTTTGTCACAGCCATACCATAGTCTTGTTTACTGTTTTTTGTCATAGCCATGTTTTTTCACAGCCATACCATAGCCTTGTTTTCCTTATTGACATAGCCATGTTTTTGCCACAGCCTTGCCACAGTTTTGTTAATCTTTATTTGCACTTTGCCATAGTCTTATTTCTGCCACAGCCATGCCACAGTCTTGTTAACATAGTTTTTTCACAGCCTTGTTTTGAACCCTGTCTTCCATCCACTCCTTTTGAGTGTGTTTTTGTTAAAATAAACCCTTGGAACTAACCCTCTCTGCGACTGAGTCCTCCCTAAGATCCACCCCCGTGACATTTATTGTGTAGGAATAAGGTCTTAGCTCTGTCTAGGGTGGTCAAAAGTATCGATACTCAAAAAACGTTGTATCCGGATACGATACTCATTTTCAAAAGTATCAACACCCCCCCCCTTCTCTCTGATTTATTTACGTTGTTTATGATCATTAACAAGACGTTAGCCTTGCTAGCTGCGGCTAATGGCTAATAATAACACGCCAACATTAATCAAGTACATATCCAACTCCCCCACATCCAAGTCGGCCATTTTGATTAGGTCACCAATAGGAAGATCCCAGGCAGGAAAATAGTAATGCCTCATGGCAATATAGACATTATTAAAGTTAGGGTTAGGGTCATTAATACGGGCCTCCAGTCACCATAACATCAGTAACAGGTCAGTTTGAAATGAAAGACACAATTCAGTTAAATTTTTGGGTCTTTCTTTTTATCCTTGTGGTCTCGAAAATGGTATCGAGTATCGTATATTTTCCTGAGTATCGGTATCAAGTTGAAAATTTTAGTATCGTGACAACCCTAGCTCTGTCACACTGGTAGCCAAATAATCAACATTTCGTTGTCAAGATTCACCTTGTGTTTTTTGTACAATGACAATAAAGGAAGTCTAAGTCTAAGTCTTCCAAAAGCAGGACAGCAGATCCATCTTGCAATCAACTCAGTGCAATATTAATTGATGATTCTTTTGTAATAACTCTGTGCAATAATATGTATATATACCCTGTATACAGTGGGGGAAATAAGTATTTGAGGCCTTGCTGATTTTGCAGGTTTGCCCACTTACAAAGAATGCAACGATCTATAACTTTAATCATATTTACATTCTAACAGTGAAAGACAGAATCCCAAAGAAAATTCCAAAAAATCACATCATATGAATTTATAAAAATTGATAAGCATCTGATGAGGAAAAATAAGCATTCTTTGTAAGTGGGCAAACCTGCAAAATCAGCAAGGGCTCAAATACTTATTTCCCCCACTCTATATCTAGCTCTCAGTTATAGAAAACATATTTTTTAAGTAGGAATAAGGTCTTAACTCTGTCACACTGGTAGCCAAGTAATCAACATTTCGTTGTCAAGATTCACCTTGTGTTTTTTGTACAATGACAAT